AGAGAGAGAGAGAAAAGGGGTGTAGGGAGAGAGAATTTTGGGATGATGGCTTCCAGAAAAGGCTTATCTTTTTAGATTTGTTTGGCCTAAAAAACAGGTTTAAAGTAGCTCAGGGGGTTAGAAGAAATAAAATCTATAAATTTTACGCCCCAAGATATTTTTTAAAACCTTAGGTGTATTGTGAATTGAAACCTAAAAATAGGGGGTATTGAGATATTTTCCCTACTTTCTAATATACTCGTTAATGTCATAGTCGTTACTCAATTATTCTCTGCCACAATTTTATAGCATGACTCGTAAGTTTGATCATATGATAAGTGGTAAAAGTTTGTATATCTCATTTGTTCTTTTAAATAGGTACCACAATATTTTTCCTTCATTCATCTAGCATTTCTTGAGTAGCTTGGTCAAATGAGAATATGCCAATCTTGCTCATGTACTTGTAAACCTTTATTGATATATCATCGGCCTTAAAGCCTTTCCTATCTTTATTTTTCTCAAATATTCTTTCACTTTAGATATCCTAACCATATAAAAGTATCTAAGACATCTGAATCATTTATGTCGATGATTCGTCTGTGCTAAGCTCCCAGAGTGGTCATCATTTAACAATTTTTGAAAACGATTCTCCACATAAAAGGTGAAGATCTATTTTAAGAAATTGTTAAATAACGACCACACCAACACACATATTATATATGGAAAGTTTGTATAAGGTTGCAACCTTAAAATATAGAATTAAAGATGCACCTCAAAAATCCATTGAAAAAGGTTGTTTTAATGTTTAAAACTGTTTAATTGATCATCTCGATATTGATATGTATAACTATGAAAAAGAAAAAATTTGAGTACCAAAAATAGTGTATCTTGCAATACATTATCTAGACCATCCGTTTTCAAGATTTTCATATGTTTGAAGATCTACTTGATTTTAACCTTTTATGGAGTTTAAAATTTTATAATTAGATATGAAAAATAGAATTTTAGATAATCCTAAGCATTTTTATACCAAAATTACATGTTATAATAAAACTGGGAGGTGATTGGATTGTTTAAGATTGCAACCTTATAGAAACTACACCCATATATATAGGAAAATATGTTATTAGCCCACTAGCTAATGGCTATAGTATTAGAGTCTTGATTTTAATAGCTATAGTGTTTGAATTACATGTTATGACAAAATTTGGAGGTGTGCCTTAATTGGATTGTTTAAGGTAGAAACCACATCCATATATTTATAGGAAAACATGTTGTTAGCCCACAAGCTAATAGCTATAGTTTTTTAATTTTAATATTTTTTTACAAATCCAAATCTTTTAAAATTTTGAGTCTTTATTATTTAAAAATAGAAGAATATAATAAAAATAGAAGAATATAATAAAAATATCAAAAATAAATTCTTAAAAATAAATTGACCAAAATACCCTTGAAACATTTCAGGGGTATTTTGATCAATTTATTTATTTTATTAAGTATTTTATTATTATTATTATTATTATTATTATTATTATTACTATTATTATTATTATTATTATTATTATTATTATTATTATTATTATTATTATTATTATTATTATTATTATTATTATTATTATTATTATTATTATTATTATCATTATTATTAGGTGTATAAAGAATGGACACCTAAAATTTCATATGATTTGGATTTATAGAAAAAACCAGTGGTTTAAAAAATAGATTGGTGCCCCCAAATCGGACACCCCAAAAACCCATCTGGATCAGTGAATCGGTGTTTTGGATTAGTAATCGGCCGAATCAGTTGGATTTAGCCTTAGAAAAATTCAAAACAATTATTAAAAATCATTATAAATGTTGCTTTTTAGGAATCCAATTAGAAGTAAGGGTACTACATTAATAACTTGTATTTTTTTGCATCAATATGCGAATATTGAGATGTTATTTTCCTGTATAAAGATTCTCATCAAACATTTATTAAAACCTAACTAAATATAATCTTATACATTGAAATTAGAATTATTGGTTTGTATTTTATTATTTTTCTCATGAATTTACTATACAAATAAGAATAAATTTGAAATTAGTGTTATAATATCATTTAATTTAAAAATCTAATCTACAACTATAACAAAAAATAATATATTGCATAATTTATAATGTAAATAAATTAATAAATAAAATATAAGATTTGATTATCATTGTAATTAATATAATTATTAATTACAACATTAAAATAAACGTGATTAAAAAAAACAAGGGTATGACCCTCACAAATAAATAAATCTAATGTATAATAATTAGTGTTGATAGAAATATAGAATTTAGTAACATAAATTTGGAATGTTATGTTACTTGATAAAGAAACTTTAAATAAATTCTAAAGTAATATGAGCTAGTGTTATTTTTCTCTCTTCAAATATCCTATAAACTAGTAATTTTTTTAATGTTCAATAAACAAGTATTAGTATTATTTTTTGTTTTTTGTTTTAATATCCTATGAGCTAGCACAACAATTTCATATAATTATGTTAATTTTTGTAAATTATTATATGAAATTTTATTTTTGTAATTATATAATTAAAGATTAATTATGTGTACTTTATGTTTGTATATTATAAAAATAAATAAATATAAAGAATCTTAAAAATGATTAAATCTTAAAAATAAATATATATAAATAATCTTAAAAAGAATTATAGGCCATTTCATTTTTATAGATGTCCTTGTATAAAAAAGAAAGATCTATTTATAGGGCCCACCTATCCATACCTAATAGCACTAATTTATATGCTCATTTAATGCCATCATTTTTTTGGATTGGGCCATGAGAATTATCCCACATTGAAGAGACGTGGGACGAAAAAGGCATACAATTTGAGGTGAAACAACATTATTGTTAAGGGATTGTTTGGGAATAGGGTTAATCTATGAGGGCTTCTTCCACCCAAGCAAAAGGTGGATGGGAAATGAAAATCTAAGGAATTTTTAATACAAAGCAAAATCAGGTGGGTCGGAAAAGAAAACCAAGGAATTTTTAAATACAAAATTGGTCGTTGTGCCGTGTAGCTCCATGACATAAGCATGCGATTTAAACATTAAAAATTTGAATCCAGTTTTTTTTTTTGGATCAGGGATGGCTTGGGTGATATCCTATTCGGATCGTTGATTTTTCAATCGTTGGATTTGGGATGGCTTGGACGATATCCGATCCAGATTGGACGATATCTGATTCGGATCGCTGATTTTTCAATCGTTGGATCTGAGACGGCTTGGGCGATATCCGATTCGGATCGCCATTTTTTCTATTGTTGGAAAATAGAAAAAACAGTAAGATTATATTACAAAATAAGGTCGTGATCGATATCCGATACGGATCGCCGCTTTTTCAATCGGAAAAACAGGGCTAACACTATAATTATTAGCTAGTGGGTTAACCTCATATTCTCCATATATATATATATATATATATATATATATGGAAAAAGCAAGCATAGGCCTATTAGCTCACAACTACCTATGAGCCTAATAGCCCAGATTCAATTTGGGACGATCTAACGGTCATGACCTCGCCTCGTATTTTAATTTGAATTTTTTTCTACAAATTCAAATTACATAACCGTCCAATTTTATATCCAATGATCAAGATTAATTGTGACCACTTTATACTAAAGATAAATGGTCTCATCACACACACACACACACATACACACACACACACATATATATATATATATATATATACCATAAAAAGTTAAACTGTCAAAACAGTGAATCTGTTCTTGTACACCAATAAGTAGTATGAGATAAAAGTTACATCTTGACTAGCGAAACTAAGTTAAATTTACATCCTAGAAAGTTGGTCCGAGAGTTAAGACAAGAGACAAGTGAAAGCCTATTGCAAAGTACCGCCAAGGCCAGGAAGAGCCGCTTAGGGAAAACGCTGGGCCACTGAATGTTTAGATTGTCATTATCCGCAACTTACGGATAGTAAATTTAATAAGGAATCTAACTAGTAAAAATGCAACTTCATCTCAAACACTTAGAGTAAAAACAAAGAACAAATAGTTATAAATGACATTGAACATAATATTCAAAACTGGAACATACCTAAGGTACCAATTCATGACATTTATAATAAAGGATCATTCAGATTCAAGATGGGTTATGCCATCAAGACTGTAGGAGAAAGTTTGTCAGTCACTCAAAATCAAGAAAACTTTCACCTACTGTCAAAGAAAATCATTGAAAACATAAAGAACATAATTACAAATATTTACATATTGGATTAATTCAAATAGCCGTAAAACCTTTGACCCGATTAGGGTTGAACACTTCTGTGCTTGTATGCCTAAGAGATACAAGACACAATATATTCACAGACTCGCTACTCGGCATGGTTGAATCCAGCCATTGTAGTGGTCCCATATATTTTAACTGTTTTCCAAATTTTTCTGTTTCTTTGACTGACCCAAATATATTAGATATATTAACAATTAATTTAAAAACACATGGGTTTCATATGACCCAAGGATCTCAAAACTTAGCAATAGTTTATAGAATATATTACAAAGTCATGAACACCTTATGCCCAAATATTATGCAAATTGATCAAAAAGATCAAACTATTTTATTCCAAACAAACATGGAAAAATCGAATATGATTGTTCCCAAAACAATAAAATGGTCAGATATTAGACTACCACAGTCATGGGCATTACAGCATGCCAATCAACCACAAGAGGTTCCTCAGCATCATATTCCTAATCAAATCATAGAACATCCTGATGGTAATATTGAAATTAAATTCCAACAATTACAAGTTCAAGATGATATAAATATAAACAGAAAAAGGAATATAAAAAATACAATACCAAGTAGAAAATCCTATTCTACTGATCCAAATGTCATAATACTACCACCTCCTACTCAGTCTTCTTCAATACCTAGTTCAGACCTACAATTTCAAGGAATAAGGAGAACAACAGATCATGTTGTTATTCCTACATATACTCCTGAAACTAGTACTACAAATACTACTGAACCTAGTATAGAAGAATTACAAGACTTTCAAATATTAACCTTACAAGTAGAAGAATATGACAATCCTCATGATAAATATTCAGATGAATATATAGTAGCATATTTAGCCGCTAAATTAGAAAGAAAAAAGAAAAAAATTGATCACAATTATATTAAGCAAGACTTTATGTCACATGAAAATAGACATATCAGAAAATGGTATCTTACAAATGTACCATTACAGTTAAGAGAAAAATTACAGGCTAAATATAATCAATTCCTTAAAAAGGAAAGGGAAACAGAAGGTTATTTTTTATGGTTAATAAGTAATTATCAACATAAACTTCATATCCCTTCTTCATTTGATGAAATTCAGACAATAAAAGTAAAAACCTATATAAGCACTGATGGTACTACCACTGCTAGTACACATCCACCTGAAAAAAGTATTATACTTAAAACAAAAGTCCCAGTTAAGGATGAGCCTACTCAACCTCCATCCTTATATGATATAATTGCTACTCCATATAAAATCGTACCTAAAGAACTTGGTAAGAAACAAGAGTTAATACCTCATATTGTAAAACAAAATAATTATACCAATCTGTATATGCAATCGTTAGGAAAGTAAGCAGAAAGGATAGAAAGACTTGTCACTAAAGAACAATCTTCTGCTACACAAATACCTAAATCAGTTTTGTTCAAACCACCTCCAGAATTGAATAAGAATAAATTTCATATTGGAGATAATAATAAATCTCTTATGGATCAATTGCTATCAAAATTATCCCAACTAGATATCAAGGGAATCCCTTCTCCAACAATAAATATCCCTCCTTCACCTATTGGTAATACACCACCTGAGTCCTCTGATAAAGGTAAAGCAAAAATACCTGAACATGAATCAATGATGCTTCAGGAAGAAGAACCAATCATAAAAGATACAATTCAAAATCAAGAAAAAGCATTTATGGATACTACCCCCATTACAGAAACCATAAATAGAATTGCCTATGGAAAATACTGGAAACCAGTAACAGCCTTACCATATCATAAGAGACCCACACCTGTTGATATACAAAAGGAAGAAGATGCCATACAACAGGTAGTATCATACTCAGGAAGATCGATAGTCAATTGGCAAATAGATGGATTATCAGAATTAAAAATATTGAATGTTATGAGACATATGACTATGTATGCATCTGCAAATAAAATGGCAGGCAATCCTGATCAAGAGGTTGCAAAAGCCATTGTTAATGGATTTACTGGCTGGTTAAGAGGATGGTGGGATTTCTATGTAGATGATGAAACCAAATACCGAATCCTCAACAATACTAGGCAATGGACAGCCAGAAATGAACAAAATCAAGAAATAATATATACAGAGAGTGATGCTGTCAACATTCTAATATATACCATTACACTTCATTTTGTAGGCAGTACAACTTTACTCGCAGCAAGATCAGAAGATCTGCTATCTAATCTACGCTGTCCTACCCTATCACATTATAAATGGTATAAAGATGTATTTTTCTCAAGATTATTAATAAGAGAAGATTGTCAGTTAGACCACTGGAAAGAAAAGTTTATAGCCGGTCTACCATATTTATTCGCTGAAAAAGTCAAGGAAAGACTAAGGAAAAAACATAATGGAATTATTGTCTATTCCTCATATACATTAGGAGAACTCTCCGCAGAAATATGTGCTGAAGGTTTAGCTTTATGCACAGATATGAAACTCAAAAGACAATTGGATAAACAGAAAATCACTAAGCGAAAAGAACTTGGTGATTTTTGCGAACAATTTGGTTATTACCTTGATAAAAACAATATGCATGACAAGCTCTATAAGAAGAAGAAAAAATACAAAAAGGAAAAATACAAAAATAAAAATAAAGATAAAGACAGAAAGAATTATAAAAAATCTAAAAAGAAACTAATTAATAAATTTTCCCCCAATACCAAAAAAAAGAGAAAATTACCAGTTTGTTATAAGTGTGGTAAAGTAGGACATTATAAACATCAATGTAAATTAAAAAAGAAAATAGAATCATTACATTTGGATGAATCAATAAAAACTAAATTATATAACATATTTGATTATGATTCTTCATCTACCACTTCTTCAGATTCTTATATTGATCAAATCCAAGATGATGATCTCATGTGGACAGACTCCTCTGACTCCACTAGTAATTCAAATACACAGTCATCTAGCTCAAAGGATGATGATTGTAGTTGTCCAATACCAACACATAATATTCACACACTTACACAATAAGATAATTTCATCCTAGACATTATTGATAAAATAGTGGATCCAAATGAGAAAAGAAACGTCATTACTCAATTCATTAATATTACAAAAAATAAGGCAAAACCAAGTCCTATTAATAAAACCCCTGATGAATATAATTTTGCTTCAATAATGAAAAGAGTAAGTGATCAACATACTTTTCAACAAAAAGAACCAACCATTTCAGATCTTAAACAAGAAATCAAAGAAATAAAAACTGAAATAGTTCACTTAAAAAATAGAATTAAATCATTAGAATTACAACAAATGTCACAGCAAGAGTCAGACACACATGAAATAGATTTTGATGAATTAATAAAAATTAATCCATCATCAGACATCCCTGAATCCTCAGAAGCCAAAGAAATACCTCCTCCTTCTATCAATCTAATAGACAAAATAGTAGTCCAAAAATGGTTTGTCTATGTTAAAATAATTGTTGCTCCAGATTATAGTTTTGAAACATCAGCTTTAATAGATTCCGGAGCTGACTTAAACTGTATCAATGAAGGACTTGTACCTTCAAAATACTTTGACAAAACTACTCAAATACTAAATATAGCAGATGGAAGTAGATTATTTATTAGATATAAATTATCCAATGCTTCTGTTTGTAATAATTACCAATGTATAAATACACCATTCATAATGATCAAAGGACTCAGCCAAGCAATCATACTTGGAGTTCCATTTCTTACACTGCTATATCCTTTAACTACAAATGAAACAGGAATATCGTCAGTTATCCAAAATATTCCAGTACACTTTAATTTTATACATAAACCAAAATTGAAAGAACTTAATAGTGTCAAAAGTCAATTAAATAACAAAGAAAAATTTCTTTGTACTCTAAAACAGGAAATTAAATATAAGGTTATTGAAGAACAATTACAAACTTCTTCAATACAACAAAAGATTGAAACGTTACAACAACATATCGAAACTTCAATATGTAGTGAATATCCTAATGCTTTTTGGGAAAGAAAAAAGCATAGTATAAGTCTACCTTATGAACCAGGATTTGATGAAAAACAAATACCTACAAAAGCTAGACCAATACAAATGAATACTATCATATTGGATATGTGTCGAAAAGAGATTCAAGATCTTCAAAACAAAAAGCTTATAAGACCAAGCTCCTCACCTTGGAGCTGTGCAGCCTTTTATGTCAATAAAAATGCTGAAAAGGAAAGAGGAGTTCCTAGACTTGTTATTAACTATAAACCACTAAATAAAGTTTTGCAATGGATAAGATATCCAATCCCCAATAAAAAAGATTTATTGGATAGAGTTGCTCAAGCATGTATCTTTTCCAAATTCGATATGAAATCTGGTTACTGGCAAATACAAATCCAAGAACAAGATAAATACAAAACTGTATTTAATGTTCTATTTGGACAATACGAATGGAATGTTATGCCATTTGGCTTGAAAAATGCTTCATCAGAATTCCAAAAAATTATGAATGATGTGTTTAATGCTTATCATCATTTTATGATAGTATATATTGATGATGTCCTAATATTCTCGGAATCAATAGATCAACATATCAAACATATTCACACATTTATACATGCAGTAAGGAATGCTGGACTAGTTGTTTCAGCCAAAAAGATAACACTATTCAAAACCAATATAAGATTTTTAGGCCATATGATTCATCATGGCACTATCATTCCCATAGATAGATCGATACAATTTGCTGATAAATTCCCTGATCAAATAATTGATAAAAAGGAACTTCAAAGATTCTTAGGTTGCTTGAACTATGTTAGTGATTTTTATCCTAACCTTGCATTAGATTCTAAACCTTTATATGATAGACTCAAAAAGAATCCTCCACCATGGACAAATACTCATACTCGAGCAGTCCAGGTAATCAAAAGAAAGGTAAAGACACTAGAATGTCTCTCCCTTCCACATCAAACTGCTTTCAAAATCATTGAATGTGATGCATCCGATAAAGGTCTAGGTGGAATTCTAAAACAACAAATTGATTCAAAAGAACAATTACTTCGTTATACTTCCAAAGCTTGGAATCCTACTCAACTTAATTATTCCATGGTAAAAAAGGAACTATTAGCAATAGTACACTGTGACTAAATTTCAAAGTGATATTTTAAATCAACATTTCTTAATACGAACTGACTGCAAAGCAGCCAAAGATATCTTGCAAAAAGATGTTCAAAATTTGGTTTCAAAACAAATCTTTGCTCGATGGCAGGCTATATTGTCCGCCTTTGATTTTTCCATCGAACACCTTCCCGGGTCTTCTAATTCCTTGCCTGATTTTTTAACCCGCGAATTTTTGCAGGGGGGGCTACACTGACGCCAACGACGAATCCCCATTATCCCTTGCTCTCCAATTATTTAAAGAGAACCAAATTAATACTGATATTTTATACTAATCTGAATACATGGGATCCCGTGTCACTTCTCGCAGGGATAAACAACCCATGAGAAACATAGTACCTTATGAAGGAGAACCTTCACCTCTAAATATCCGTTCACCTTCACAGTCCCCAATACATCAAATTACTTATCAAGAAGCACATGCTTCTACTCCTACATACTCTCCAGCTCAATCAAAATCTGCTCCTACATCAAATATCCCAAGATCTGCATACATTGAAAGAGCATTCTTAATGGATATCACCATAGATGAACATCAGGTTCATATGGATCCTATCAAACTTGCAACTTTATACTTACTAAATCACCTCAACCCTACCAATGGGGTAAAGACCAGAGAATACTATGAAGCCATACTCATGGAAACAGGGTCCATCTCTGTTGTCCATTACTTCCAGCAAAATACCAGAATCATTGCTTATTCCAAAGTTCAAATAAAGAAAATTCTTCCCTATGATGAGTGGGGTTGCAATCCCGCACAGGGAAAGAAATTACACAACCCAGAGTTTTCATACAAATATTTCAAATATGCCGAGTATATAGAAGCCTGACACAAATTTTTTTACTATCAAAATCCAAACAACACACACAGCTGGTATCTTCAGTTCCGGCTGCCTATTTTTGAAAGATTCCCCACATGGTTTCAAAATTGGTTTTTAGTGTGGGGCTCAACTTCTTTGGTTCTACCTCCTGCTTTCAAAAACCTGCAGGAACAATTTGTGTAATATAATAATATTGATAATATGATTGACACTCACCTATATTTCATGGCCTTATATCAAATCCCATGGATTATGAAATGGGATTACACCATCTCATCCAATACCACAAATGACTATACCTATATCCCTCGATTGGGTAAAACCATTTCTGTAAAATGGTGGGATATCTTCCAAATGGGTCTCACCAAGACCACACCAAAACGTATACCCCCAAAAACACCTAAATACCAGGAAAACCCAAATACTGCAAATACCTCTTTTGACTTTCTAACTTACCTCCGAAGTATGTTGCAAACCAATCCCAATGCATCAAAAGAAGAACTAAAAAAACAGATGAAAGAGATTTTTGCTGAAGCCGGAAGGAAACCAACATCTTCCGAAGAAACAGTACAGTCTTCCCCACTCCACACCAATAGATATCTCCAACTAAGTCAAGTTGATCCAGAAGAGACTGATCCAG